TTTTTTTTTTTTTTTTTTTTTTTTTGAGATGGGAATCTGGCTCTTGTCGCCCAGGCTGGAGTGCAATGGCATGACCTCGGCTCATGGCAACCTCCACCTCCTGGGTTCAAGTGATTCTCCTGCCTCAGCTTCCTGAATAGCTGGGATTACAGGCACCCACCACCACACCCAGGTAATTTTTGTACTTTTAGTAGACACAGGGTTTCGCCATGTTGGCCGGGCTGGTCTCCAACTCCTGACCTCGTGATCTGCCCACCTCGGCCTCCCAAAGTGCTAGGATTACAGGTGTGAGCCATTGTACCTGGCCTCCTCCCTTTTCTTATCCTCTAATCTGGTGAGACCCAGGAAGAATCACCAGCTTGGTCTTATAGACCTCTCCTTACTCATTTAAGATCCCAGACATAAGCAATTGCTCCAGTGTTCTACTGGAAAGGTAGTAGTAGAAGGGACCTCTCTGGTGCAGGCCGCCAGGGACTCCTCTGCCTCACCCTATGCCTCTTCACTATATTTAGGCCACAGATATCAGGCTGTAAAACCTCTGTGGCAATGAATACCATGCAGAATGCAATAGGGAGAGCCCGAGGAGGCATCTGTTCTCTACGCTAGCACAGTCCAGCAGGGAAGAATTACACCTGCCTACTTCACTCCCACTGTGGTGGTCGGGGGCGAGGGTAGAGAGTATTGGTGCCAATTGAATGGCTATGGTTTCCAGGTTTTAGTTCATCAGGGCTAGACCTAAGGTCAATTTCTTGCTAAAGCCAACATCTCTAGGAAAAGCTAAATTCTAGCATGGGAAATTGTGAAGCTGACATCTAGAATGTCAGAGAGGGGTCGTGTCAGGGTGGCTGAGCCAAGGTGTGGGAATGGGGTAGAGAGCTTAGACATCAAATCACCTTAAGAATGAACAAGAACAACTCTGGGGGGCTGGGCTAGTGGTTGGAGGGTGCTTGGTGGCAGAGGGAGGTTAGGTTGTCTCCACAGCCTGTCTTTTGTTCTTTCCTTGTATTTTCAGCATTGGAAGTGAAAGATTAGGATGAAAAAAACTGAAAAATTATCAGTTCCACCCACTCACCCCCAACACACACACAGTAAAAACCTTTTAGTGGAAGGCTTTCCTTTTGCAGATTATAAGTGCATGCCAATGATGAGCCATTATTGCATACTTACTCTTTAAAACCATCCTTGGTATATATTGGAGGGGACTGCAGCACTTGCCAAGTTTCAAGCTGTTTTGTTTTGTTTTGTTTTTTTGTTTTTTGCCAAGATCCATCCTGGGGTTTGTGTTACCAACTAGGGCCTTCTTGGGCCTTTGTGACCCCTGTGGACGCCCCCCACCTCTTTGAGCCTGAGAACCCTTTTCAGACCTCAGGGAATCACTTCTTCAGAGACTTCTTTAATGCACTAAGAGCTTTCCTAATACTGACAGAGGGTGGGAAATGGAAGAAGCTTAGATTTTACCAAGTCATGGAAAATCCCCAGTCATTTTTATTAGCTTTACAGTCAGAGATGTCCTCAAAGGCACATGCATTGCTTACAAACTCACTTCCCTCGCTCCTGGAAGTCTAGGTGGGGCAGTATGTGGGAGAGGTAAGTGGTACCTTGCTTTATCAGCTCATATTTTGGTGAGAATGTAAAAGAACTGACTTTTTTGGTAACCTATTACCTGAGAGAAAAACAGGTAAAAAATAAAGTGATAATAATTAATAATGTAAAAAATTCTAATAGCCAATTTTTTTCTAATGGATAATCAAAAAATTCTAGAAGAATAATCACATCTTTCCATCATGATTTAAAAGCTTTCTTTCAAAATGGATGTATAAGTACCACCCCTTTCTGATTTAATAAAATGCTTTTGTATAATCAAATAGCACACACCTGTGTACAAGATGATGGATTAATAATGACTTTTAGCAACTAAATTTTTAAAGGACTCTGACCTAGAAATATTGATTCGTATATTCATTCATTCATTCATTCATTTAGCATTATCCAACATCTGCAACGTGAAAGGCACCATGTGGGTGCCAGAGATTCAAGGGATATTTAGGAAGTTGCCCATGGGGCGAATAGTCTAACAGAAATATACCCAAGTTTGATGCTTTTTAGTTCTTAATGAATCTTTTATGTGAAATTGTGTTTGTTGTGTGATTTTGTTTGTTGTGGATTAACTGAGGGGTGACTGAGAACCAAATGCCCCTGGAGAGACATTGAGACATTGCTTTTTTTGTGTGGAAAAATAAAATTGGAGTTGAAATACATCAATCGGTCCAATCAGTGTTTAAGGCCTACTCAATGCTCAATTCTTTTTTTTCCCTGTTTTCTTTTTTAAATTAAAAAATATCCTTTTTTTTTTTTTTGAGTCAGAGTCTCACTCTGTCGCCCAGGCTGGAATGCAGTGGTGTGATCACGGCTCACTGCAGCCTGGACCTCCCAGGCTCAGATGATCCTCCCGCCTCAGCCTCCTGAGTAGTTGGGACTACAGCTGTGCGCCACCATGCCTGGCTAATTTTTTGTATTTTTTATAGAGATGGTGTCTCCCTATGTTGCCCAGGCTGGTCTCAAGCTCCTGGGCTCAAAGGATCCGTCTGCCTCAGCCTCCCAAAGTGCCAGGATTATGAGTGACAGCCACTGCACCCAGCCCCAATTCTTATGTCTTCATAAAAAGGGGTAGAAAAAATAGCATGAGGATGGAGCAAAGCCCAAGGGAGAGATGCATACTGTTAGAAAGTAGTGTTTCTCCAACTGAGATGTAGGGCTTGCTTGCATCAAAGTTCCCGGAAGGGTGCACTTTAAATGCATATTCCAAGGCCCTGGACTTTTGAATCTGAGTATTGTCAGGAGAGCCTGAGAATCTGCATCCCCCTACCCCTAATAAATTTTGTGAGCACTTGATTTGGAGAGCACTGATCTAGGACCTGGAAAATGTTGCCAGGACTAGATGAATAGCGCCCCAATTTCAAAAATGAGGAAAGAGTAGATGCTAGAAGCCACAGATTTGCTGGCCTGACATGACCTCTGGAAAAATTCAGCTTGAAATAGATGGAGCCACCAGGCGCAGTGGCTCACACCTGTAATCCCAGCACTTTGGGAGGCTGAGGTGGGTGGATCACGAGGTTAGAAGTTCAAGACCAGCCTGGCCAAGATGGTAAAACTTTGTCTCTACTAAAATACAAAAATTAGCCAGATGGGGTGGTGGGCGCCTGTAATCCCAGCTACTCAGGAGGCTGAGGCACAGAATTGCTTGAACCCGGGAGGCGGAGGTTGCAGTGAGCCGAGATCATTCTGCTGCTGCACTCCAGCCTGGGCAAAGAAGCAAGACTTCATCTCAAGAAAAAAAAAAAAAAAAAAGATGGAACCAAAGCGGTTCTAGGAAAATGTGATCATCACCATGCAGCACCATAGGTTTGCTAAGATATCATCTCTGTTAGAGATTGTCAAACTTTGCTGTGTATAAGAATCTGAAAAACTGAAAAAAATCTTAATGGCCAATCCCCGACCCAGTACCAATTATATCAAATTCTCTGGGGTTGGGACTTGGGCATCAGTATTTTTTAAACCCCAAGAGATTCTGACTTAATGAGGTGCAGGCTGAGTACGGGGAGTTTGAACTGCTCCCCAGGTGATACTAATATGCGACAAAGTATGACAACCACAGTTCTATATGACATGGGACAAGATGCTTAATTTCCTTGCACATTGTGTAAATACTAGGTAATTTTAAAGGTCTCTCTCACCTTAAAACTTCTGTGATTTTGTTATTAACAATCTTCCCAAATTGATTTCCTTCCTTTCTTCCTTCTCTGCCCTTCCTTCCTTTTCTCCTCCTCCTCTCTCTCTTCTTTTGATGGAATAAGCTGAAATGTCAAAGTATCAAAATATATATCATCATTTTATTAAGATATTTAGTAAGATTTTCCAGGATGTCTCACAGATAAATGAGAGTTCTGATAGGTGAGTTTACCACCTAACTGAACGAATGTGCTCAGAGAGTATGAAGGCAACAGATCTGTGGTGATCAGGGAGGATGATTTGGAGTGGAATGCTGCAAGGCTTATCCTGCCCTTGGATCTGACCTTGTTAATTTTCTTTAGACATGATTTAGATAGGGAAGACACGAAAGAAGTGCCTATCAAATTTGGAAATAAGAGCCGAGCACAGTGGCTCATGCCTGTAATCCCAGCACTTTGGGAGGCTGAGGTGGGCACGTTGCTTGAGGCCAGGAGTTTGAGACCAACTTGGGCAACATGGTGATACCTCGTGTCAACAAAAAAGTACAAAACTTAGCTGGGTATGGTGGCACATTCCTGTAATTTCAGCTGCTCAGGAGGCTGAGGTGGGAGGATCACTTGAGCCCAGGAGGTGGAGGCTGCAGTGAGTCATGGTTGCACCACTGCACTCCAGCCTGGGTGACAGAGCAAGACCTTGTCTCAAAAAATAAATAAATAAAAATTTGGAAATAACCCAAAGTTTAGGAATTTTAATTAATTCGATACATAAAATAATCAGGTTCACCTCTGGTCAGAAAATCTGTTTATTAAGCTTATTGTTATTTTCAAAATATTGCCATGGTTCAAATGTTTTGCTTATTTTACTTTTCCCTTTCCTCAGTTGAGTTGAAATTTTTAAGCTTTTAGTGTAGTACTAATGGAAAGATAGATATGTCAGTTGTTCTCCGACTTTGTTCCTGTCAAGAAATCAAACAGAGCTGGGCAAGGTGGCTCAGACCTGTAATCCCAGCACTTTGGGAGGATGAGGCCAGAGGGTCACTTGAGCCCAGGAGTTTGAGACCAGCCTCAGCAACATAGGGAGAACCTGTCTTGACAAAAAACTAAATTAGCCAGGTGTCATGGCACATGCTTGGGAGGTTAAGGCTGCAGTGAGCCGTGATTGTGCCACTACACTCCATCCTGGGTGATAGAGTGAGACCCTGTCTGGAAGAAAAAAAAGGAATGCAAATATATTAGATCAGGTTGGTTTGGAATATCACAAAATAAAGGAAACATCACCCTAAAAAGTGACATGATGGTATACTACAGAAAGGAGTTTTGTTGAATACACCCATCAAGTGATTATGGGAGTCAGGGAGCTCATGGAAGGACTACAGAACACAAATTAGACTCCAGAGGGGCCTCGGCAGTACCTGGAGAGCTTGTTTAAAACGGTATTCTTGGCCAAGTGCAGTGGCTCATGCCTGTAATCCCAGCACTTTGTGAGGCCGAGGCAGGTGGATCACCTGAGGTCAAGAGTTCGAGACCATCCTGGCCAACCCCACGAAACTCAGTCTCTACTAAAAATACAAAAAATTAGCCAAGCATGGTGGCACACACCTGTAGTCCCAGCTACTCAGGAGGCTGAGGCGGTAGCGTCATCTGAGCCTGGGATGTTGAGGCTACAGTGAGCCGTGATCACACCATTGCACTCCAGCTTGGGCGACAGAGCGAGACTCCATCTGAAAAAATAAAATAAAAGGGCATTCTCACAGATTACGATTCCTAAATTTGAAGGGAGGTTTCAAGCCTCCTTTTTTTTAAAAAAAGTATCCCCAACTTATTATGAGAAATACTGTCAAAGAACTCACTTTGAATTTTAGCGTAATTGTTTAAATATGTTGTTTTTGTCTCATAGTCAGCTTCCAATTTGTGTTTTTAAAAGCCTAGATAGGTTGAATTACTTTGAGCTGAAAACCAAAACAGTTAATTATGCTCCTCCACATCCCATTCCCCGTATTTAAATTAGAAAATCGTGCACTCTCATATTTCCATTTTTCTTTTCATTTTGAATGCTCTATTTTATACAGAGCTGGATGTGACCTAGACATGGAGAAACTCATTTATGTCTAGCAGAGAAGCAGCCTATAGCTGCTCTGTAGCTGCTACTGTGTTTTGGAAAATAAACCAGGATTAGATTATGTCTGATCACTTTCGACATCACATGATGAACAGCGATTCAGAAGAAGCATAAAATGAATCCTGCTGAGCAGCCCCTCAGCTACCATGTGGTTAACTGGCAGTTTCCTTCCCTCCCTCCTGTCTTCCTCATTAGAATCTGTGACTGAAGAGGATCGGCTAAGAGTGGTTCCTTGCAGCTTAAAGGGAGGGACTTTTCACACTCTGTCTTAAAATCAGAAGTTGAATTTGTGAACACGTATGATTTAGATAGAAGTCATGGGATGCAACACTTCTTCAACGAGAATCAAGAATTCTCAGACATGTGAGTACTGGGAATGTGCCTGTGTTTATGAATGAAAAGGGGCAAATGAGCTGGTCTCACCCTCTCACCCTTTCTCATTTACTCCCACGATGCTCAAGCTGCCCTGTGTAATTTACACAAGGCATCGTTAGAGGAGCATAGGAAACTACATTTAGGAAGATGTAGCTTTGAATTTATGAAGTACCATAAAGTATTGTCTTAGAGATAGTTTATGATTGATTTAATTTCAGTCGAAAATGTACCAATATAAAATCTCAATTTAAAACTCAGTGGCAGGGAACAAGAAAGACACTGTAATTTATATATGTTTCTTTAATACTTTTATAAATAGTTATATGCATACTTTCGTGACATTTAGTAGCATCATTGAATTTTTATTAGATTTTATGACCCAATGATCACATTATTTCTGTATCTATTCAACACAGAACTTCATGAGATTTGCCTCGTGTTTTAAAAATATTGTAGGAGAATTGGGAGAATGCTAGATCATCTGTTTCCAAAAAAAGGCGTATTGTTTCTAAATAGATGTCATGCCTTTCTTTACCCCCATATAATGAGAAGCTTAAATATTCACTTTGTTTATTTTGTACTGAGGTTCTTATGGCTATTGGCATCCAGTTAAAACAAACTTGAGTGTTTAAGGGATAGAGCTTCCAACAAGCAAATTAAAATAAAAACAAATAAATAAGCCGAGACAATTACTATGAGTAATTTCCTCTTAAACTCCACTTCTTTGATGTCTCAGTTGTAGATAATTTCCCCAATTTCTATTCCAAACCTTGCTTTTGGAAGTTTATTCAGGCTTAAGGTGGAGAGTTTAGGATGTAGAATGTGTTATACTAAATAGCGTGGGATGTTTTCCTTCGGGTATCAAATGTTGTTCTCCTACCCAGCTGACTTGCGCTGATGATGTAGGAAACTCATCTCTGAAAGTAGGAAGGGACATAGGAGGTGTACTAACTCTTTAAAATCTTTAAGCATGACATGAAATAAATCTTTCAAAAACTCTGTCTGAACTCTACCACTATAGGAGCCATTTATTAACAGAGAGTAAAGAGAAATTATCTTTTTATATTTAGGATTACTAGATATAAAAAAGTTCTTTAAATTTAGCCAAATTTCTTAGGTTTAAAAAAAGGCCAAGTCCAACTTGTAAAAACAAATTCTCTCTCTTTTTGAAATACTTTTCAACTTATAAGCCATTGCATGTAAATGGAAATATAAGCTTCAATTTCTGGATTACTTTTTCTTTCAAATACCTGTGATTTATTGAGGGGAAATTCACCTATCATAAAATTAGCCATTGTAAAGTGAACAACTCAGTAGCAGTTGGTATGTTCACAGTGTTGTGCAACCACAACCCCTATCTACTTCTGAAACATTTCCAATACTCCAAAGTAAAATCCCTTATCCATTAAGCACTTTCTCTCTCCTCTCAGCCCCTGGCAACCACAAATCTACATTCAGCCTCTATGGATTTATCTATTCTGGACATTTCATGTAAATGGAGTTGTACATTACATGACCTTTTGTGTCTGTCTTTGTCCATGTTGTAGCATGTATCAATACTTTATTTCTTTTTGTTGCAGGATAATATTTCATGGTATAAATATGCCACATTGTGTTTATTCATTAATTGATAGACATTTGGATTGTTTCAGCTTGGGTGGTTTTTTTTTTTTTTTTTGAGGCAGTCTTGCTCTCTTGCCCAGGCTGGATTACAGTGGGGTGATCTCGGCTCACTGCAACCTCTGCCTCCCAGGTTCAAGTGATTCTCCTGCCTCAGCTCCCAGAGTAGCTGGGATTACAGGTGCCTGCCACCATGCCCAGCTAATTTTTGGCAGAGATGAGGTTTCGCCACGTTGGCCAGGCTAGTCTCAAACTCCTGACCTCAGGTGATCTGCCTGCCTCAGCCTCCCAAAGCGCTGGGATTATAGGCGTGAGCCACCGTGCCCAGCCTGTTTCAGCTTTTTGACTATTATGAACAATGCTGTTGTGAACATATGTTTTCAGTTCTCTTGGGTACATACCTAGAACTGGAATTGCTGGGTCATATGGAAGCTCTATGTCTAACATTTTTAGACATTTCCAAGCTATTTTCCCAAGTGACTGTGCCATTCTACATTCCTACCAGCAATGTATAAGGGTTTCAGTTTCTCCACATTTTCAGCAATAGTTGTGACTGTCTATTCTTTTGATGATAGTCATCCTAGTGAGTATGAAGTGGTATCTCACTGTGGTTTTCATTTGTATTTCCCTAATGACTAATGACATTGAGCATCTTTTCATGTTCAGATACAAGTTTCTTATCAAATATGTGATTTGTAAATACTTTTTCCTATTCATTGGATCCTCTTCGTACTTTCTTGATGGTGTTCTTTGAAGCATGAAAGTTTTTAATTTTGATGAAGTTCACGTTATTTTTTCTTTGGTCACTTGTACTTTTGGTGTCATATCTAAGAATCCATCCCCAAATCCAAAAATATTTATGCTCATGTCTTAAAGAGTTTTGTAATAATTCAACAAGAAAAAAAATAACCCCATTAAAAAGTGGGCAAAGGTCATGAACAGACATTTTTCAAAAGAAGGCATACAAATGGCCAACAAACATACGAAAAAAATGCTCAACATCACTAATCATCAGATAAATGCAAATTGAAACCACAATGAGATGCCATCTTATATACCAGTCAGAATAGCTATTACTAAAAAGTCAAAAAACAAGAGATGTAGGCGAGAATGTAGGGAAAAGGGAATGCCTACCACTGCTGGCAGGAGTGTAAATTAGTACAACCTCTATGGAAAACATTACAGAGATTTCTCCAAGAACTAAAAATAGAACTGCCAAACTACTATTTCATCCAGCAATCCCACCGTGGACTCTACCCAAAGGAAGTCATTATATCAAATAGATGCCTGTACTCGTATGTTTACTGCAGCACTATTCACAGTAGCAAAGATATGGAATCACCATGTCTTTCAATGGGTGACTGGTTAAAGAAAACGTGGGGTGTGTGTGTGTGTGTGCATGTGTGTATGCCATGGAATACTACTCAGCCATAAAAAGGAATGAAATCATGTCTTTTGCAGCAACATGGATGGAACGAGAAGCCATTATCCTAAGTGAAATTACTCAAAAACAGAAAGTCAAGTACCCCACGTTCTTACTTATAAGTGGGAGCTAAATCATGTGTACACATGGGTACAGAGAATAGAATAGTAGACACTGGAGACTCAGAAAGCTGGGAGGCTGGGAGTGGGGTGAGGGATGAGAAATTAATGAGTACAGTGTACACTACTTGGGTAATGGTTACACTAAAAGCCCAGGCTTCATTATACATGTAACAAAATTGCACTTGTACCCCCTAAATATATATATTTTTAAAGGCAAAAAAACAAGTTTTGTAGTTTTAGCTCTTGCATTTAGGCTTTTGAACCATTCTGAGTTGTTGATTGTCACATATGGTATGAGGTAGGAGTACAAATTCATTTTTTGCATGTGGTTATCCAGATGTCCTAGCACCATTTGTTGAAAAGACTGTTCTTTCCCCATTGAATGATCTTAGTACCATTGTCAAAAAAATCAATTGACCGTAAATGTTGTTTATTTCTGGGCTCTCACTTCTATTCCATTGATCTATACGTTTTTCTTATGCCAGTACCAGTGTCTGCATTACTATAGCTTATTTTTAAATAAAGTTTTGAAATTGGGAAGTATGAATCCTTCAACTTTGTTTCTCTTTTTCAAGATTATTTTGGCTATTCTGGGTCTCTTACATTTCCATATGAATTTTAGAATCAATGTGTTAATGTCTCAAGCCAGCTGGAATGTTGACAGGGGTTGTGTTGAATCTGTAGATCAATTTGGGGAGTATTGCTATCTTAATTAAATAATCTGATCCATGAATATGGGGTGTCTTTCCATCTATTTAGGTCTTTAATTTCTTTCACCAGTGTCTTGTAGTGTTCAGAGGATAAGTTTTATACTTCTTTCATTAAATTTAACCTAGGTTTTTAAATTCTTTTTGATGATATTATACATTGATTTCTGTTAATTTCATTTTTGGATTGTTTATTGCAAGTGTTTAAAAATTGATTTTTGTATATTGGTCTTGTATCCCGAAACCTTGCTGAACTCATTTATTAGCTCTAATCGATTTTTACTGGATATTTTAGAAATTTTTATTTACAAACCAGGTCATCTGTAAATATAGTTTTACTTGTTTCTTTCCAATGCCTTTTGTTTTGTTTTCTTGCCTCCACTACAATGTCAAATAGAAATGCAAGAGTAGCCCTCCTTGTCTTGTTACTGATCTTAGGGGAGAAGCGTTCAGTCTTTCACCAGTAAGTCTTATATTGGCTGTATCTTTGTCATAGATGCTCTTTATCAGTTTGAGAAAACACACTCCTATTCCTAGTTGATTGATTTTTTTTTATTATTACAAAGTGGTGTTTAATTTTGTCAAATACTTTTTCTGCATGTATTGAGATGATCATGTGGTTTTTGTCCTTTATTTTATGATATGGCATATTATGTTAATTAAATGGCATATTATGTTAATTGACATTAAACCAACTTGGCCTTCCCAGGATAAATCCCCTCAGTCTTGGTGTATAATGCTTTTTATGTGTTGCTGAATTCAGTTTGCTGGTATTTTGTAGAGGAATTTTGCATCTATATTTCTAAGAGATACTGGTCTATAGTTTTCTTGTGATATCTTTGTCTAATTTTACTGTCAGGGCAATATTGGCCTCATAGAACAAGTTGGAAAGTGTTCCCTTCTCTTCCATTTTTTGGAAGAGTTTATGAATATTTGGTATTAATTCCTTAAATATTTGGTAGAATTCATAAGTAAAGCTATTCAGGCATGAAATTTTCTTTGTGTGTAGTTTCTTTGATTATTTATTCTGTGTCTTGTTAGGTGCCAATTTAGATTTTCTATTTCTTCCTGAGTCATTTGTGGTAGTTCTAGAAATTTGTCCATTTCATCTGTTAT